AACTTCTGTCCATTGGTGATTTCCTTAGAAATAACGGGATTTCTCTACTCTTAATAATCTACGGCTAAATGAACCCCCACGTTCCCTGGTTTATATAGAGTATTGTAGTATCACCACCTTTGGTTAAATGTAGAACTTTTTATAGTCTGTCGAGCTTCAACATAAAAAAAGAAAGGCAACTAGGTGATATTGAAAGCAAATCGTGATTGATGTTAAGCAATGATAAGGTTGATGGTAACAATTGATGTTAATTACTTCTAATTAAAAGATTTAATTTTAATTAATAAAATGCATAAAGTATTTTCAAATTCTGGTTGGGTTGATCAGTTTGTACAAGAATGGTGTACTAATTTATAGTCTACTGTACTAAGCATGCAAATTCAATTGTTCATTGGGAGAAAAAAAAGCACCAGAGAAAAGTTTGCTTTTCCTTTTCTCCTCCAATGCAAAGGGGCATCATTTGTCTGACCTAACCAGGTTAATGCGGATTCACTTTATCACATAAAGGCATGTCCCAGCAATCCTGAGGAACCATATCAGAACCCCAAAAAGCAAAGTTGATGTCCAAACATTAATTATTTTCACGATGCACTGCATACATATTTGATGATGTTGGAGAAATCTGCAATAAGATAAATTTGTTCACACTCTCCATAAAAGTGCACTTTCTGATAAGGTAGTAGATGCTGTTTATGTTCTTGATGCCATTGTAGGCTTCGATTCGAATGACCAAGCAACTAGATGTGCTTCAGCCTACATTCCTCCTGGGGGCTATAAACAATTCCTTAATAGCTATGGGCTCAAAGGAAAGAGATTGGGCATAGTGAGAAATCCATTTCTCAAAATTGTTGAAGGATTAGGTTTAGGTCAGACATTTGAGACCCATTTACAAACACTAAGGTGACACATAATAAAATTATAACCAACACTTTGTATTCAGGCAGCTGAAACGATCGGCTTAGCCCAATGCCTAATGGTTCAATCTTTTTAATAAAGTACTAACTTTTTGTGAATTCAGGGGAGAAGGTGCTGTTTTGGTAGACAATTTGCAAATAGCCAACATCGATGTTATACTGAATTTCAACTCAAGTGGAGAAGCACTAGCAACCTTAGCTGAATTCAAATTGTCCTTGAATGCCTACCTTCAAGAGTTGGTGGCTTCCCCAGTGCGATCCTTGGCAGATATCATTGCCTTCAACCTGAAATTCCCCGATTTGGTGGGTAAAGAGCATGAAATTACGCATATGTACATTAATTATTTCGAGAAACATTCCACAGGATTAATGATCACACTGAATGTTGGTTAATATGGTGGGCTTTGCAGGAACTGACAGATAAAATAGGCCAAGATATCTTTCTGGCAGCCCAGGCCACAAATGGGATTGGCGCTCAGGAGAGGGCAGCATTGTCAAACTTGGAAAATCTGTCGAGAAATGGATTCGAGAAGTTGATGAGCGACTACAAGCTGGATGCATTGGTGACTGCTGGGTCAGATGTTTCTCCTATCTATGCAATTGGAGGGTTCCCTGCAATTATTGTGCCTGCTGGATATGATAGCCAGGGGGTTCCTATTGGCCTTTCCTTTGGGGGACTGAAGGGCTCGGAGCCCAAGCTAATTGAAATCGCATATGGCTTTGAGCAAGCTACCAAGATTAGGAAGCCTCCTTCATTCAAACCTTGAAAATTACTTTCCACTACGGCCCTTTACCTATTGTCTATTTGCTATTCATGAAAATTAAGTATGAAATAAACTATACGGCATTAATTATTTTTTTCTCTCTTTTACATCAATTTTCAGAATTTTCATCAATTAAAATTTTCTAAACAACAATTTAGCTTTATATATATATATA